TCTCTCTCTCTCTCTATATATATATATATATATATATATATATATATGAAGCTTACTTTGCAAACCACGTTAATTGTCAAACCGTACAAACTTCATTCAACCAATCATAATTTTTCATTTTGCTCATCTTTTTTTTGTAATTATGAGAGGTTGATTGATCATTTTTATTGTGGAGGGTGTTAATTATGGATATTATCATCTTTACTATATTAATTTTAGAGAAAAAATGAAACAGTTTCATTAAAATTTCATAAGTATTATATGAAACAATTTCATAACCATATATGAAACAAGTTCATCAAAAAAAAGTATTATATGAAACAATTTCATAAGATAAAACAAAGAAATCGACGAATGAGGGAGGTTTGTACGGTTTGTACAAATATGGGTGGTTTGCATTTAAAACTCCTATAAATCTACGGTTTGACTTTCAAATAGCCAAACTATTACATGTCATTTGAAAGACCTCCAACTTCATTCATACATATGGTTTGACTTTCAAATAGTCAAACCATTATACTTAGAATTTCAAAGTCATCCAAAACTCTTCTAAACCTACGGTTTGACTTTCAAATAGTCAAACCACTATACTTAAAGTTTTAAAGTAATCTAAAACTCCTTTAAACCTACGGTTTCACTTTCAAATAGCCAAATTATTACACGTAGGGTTTTCAAATCATTCAAAAGAACTCCAACTTCATCCACACATACGATTTGAGTTTCAACTAGTCAAACCATTACACTCCTCTAAACTTATAGTTTGACTTTCAAATTGCCGAACTATTACATATTGAGTTTGCAAGTCATTCAAAAGACCTTCAACTTCATTCACACATACGATTTGACTTTCAAATAGTCAAATCATTAGACTTAGAGTTTTAAAGTCATCCAAAACTCCTCTAAACCTACGATTAACTTCTGTATGTTTATTTCATAATTGTATAATCGCAATTTGTCTTTATTTTTTTTAGATAGAATCTAATGTTCATTTTTCTAAGCGATGTCACGCTGACAGCATGGTAGTGGTAGAGGATTATGAGGTAAAGCTAGCCCCATTTTCGGTAGTGACAACAACTCTGCTGGCAGTCGTGGAGACCCGTGATGATATGGAGAAGTTTACGAATGGTACCATCTCGACCTTCGGCCTTGATGATCTCGATCATGATTATGAGCAGGAGATGGAGGTCTCACTTTTGACTAGTTGGGGTCAGGAGAGGTCCCAACCATTCGATTCAACACCAAATAATCCGAGTCAACACCACATCTAAATCTTGTAGGCCGCAGGTAAGTAGATGGGGTATAAGACAGTGTATTACATAATAAAATGATATGAATGTCCTTTTGTGTTGTATATAATTTTTGATTGTGTAGGTTTCAAGATGTCCATGTTGCCCGGGAGATCACGTTTGTATTTAAGTCTTCCTTTTGTGGTCCATGGTATCGTTGGAAGGAGGTACCTCAGTAAGACCGCAACTTGATGTTCCAACACTCTCGGGTTGGTATACATGGATCCCTTTTAATGTAATTATACATATTAGATGATTAATTTTACCTTGATACAAATCTTATGTATGTAAAGTAAGTTCAAGTGGGAACCAGAGTTGGGGGAAATGGTTCTTGAGGCATGGACCAAAGCCATGCATAATAGGTACTCGGATTGGATGAGTGATGCACGTGATCGGTCATGATACGGGCCTATCCCAATTGGTAGAGGGATTGGGACGGTGAGGACTTTACACACATTAGATTACAACCATCTTTTTTAGATCCCAAAGAGGTTTTGGCTCTAGATCATTGATCAGTTCTTTATCTTTCTTGTGAGTTTTGTGCATTGCCATGGGTTTTGTACCCACTTATGTGTTATGTTTTTTTAACAAGTGTGGGATACCGAGCCTTGGAAAATCTGGTCTAGGGCCAATAATGTCAATCGAAAGACCGAGTTTGAGGGGGTATCGTCCAGGCTTACCGAGGGATTGATCACTACTGCACAACATTGACACGAGTATACAAATATTTGAATATGTAGTTAGATCTGTAAGTTTACCAACAACTTAACTTAATTGTCTATTGTAGGCATAAATATTGCATCACGAGCTGACTTCGTGTGAGGTGTTTGAGCGTATCTACTGCACGAACAAGAAGGCTATTCCAGGTTCGTCCAACCCACCTTCTGATCCTTCTCAGTTCATTTATACCCCAAAGTGTCTAGGTCCTATATAAGTTTTCTAAATCCATTACTTTGTTTTATAGAACCATTTGGTAGGTTTAAAGTAATATATTTTAATAAATGTAGTAATGTTATTATTTTGGGCTCCGCTATTGGGCAGACGTTAGGCTAAGTAGATAGGTTGGTTGAAAATGTAACTACCATTGGTAATTAGATTGCTTTAATTGTTAAAAGAAGTCATTGAATATGCTTGTACATTCGTTATGCTACTGAAATGTCTACGGACATAAGCTCACTTGTTTTTCTTTTGGTAAAACATAGGAGCGATTTCAAGAGCTTAAAGATGCGTCACAATCTAGTGCAGACCCCAACACCCCTCCCCTGATGAGACATCTCTTTGGGAGTAGAATGTCGGAGGATGGAACAAGGGTCGTCTTTTCGGTTTCAGGACCTCCTAGGATCCCCATTATGCTATGACCAGTCAATGTAGCAGTAGCAGCAAAATATCATCCATTACTGGATTGACAGCAAATGTATGTTGGTTATACTGTTATGTACTTTTTCATTACTTTTCATAACAAATAACTGATATTTGTCAAATATTAAATATTTACATGTAGCGGAGTTGAGAGAGAATATGGCAAAGATAGAGGAGGAGGCGCAACTCAGGAGGAATGCCATTGGGCCGAGCTCAAGGCCGAACGGAAGAGTAGGGCAGATATGGAAGCCCAATAGGACAAACAAGCTGCCCAAGTTAGCCAAGCAGATCAGATTATCGGAGCATTTTGTTGCGTTTAAGCGGTAGACATGATACACTCCCTCCCCAATACCTCCTTACCCTCCCTGTAGTTAGATTATTACTAAACTACTCTTGAGCATTAAAATGTATGATTGGTTATTATTAATTTTTTGCACAGTTTAGATTTGTTATATTCAATTTATGGGCAGGTTTGCATAAAAAATAGAAAAAATATAGAACTTCAATAAACGAGCTGAGGCGAGCGATCCACTCCTTTTTTTCGATAGATAATATCTACCCACCTAGTTTAGCTAATTCAATATCCTTCGGAGAAAAGCAACAAGTTTTTCTTATTTTCTTATTCCTGCAGTTGTTTTAAGCCATTCACCTCCCTCTAATGATCATTTCATCGGCGCTTTCCTCTCCTTTTATTCTTCATTATACGGTTTGGATGGACTTCGTCGTTCTTTCCCAACTAAAATAGAAGAGTCTAGTATCTCAGGCAATAGTAGACAAACTGAACATGTACCATAAAGATATATGCTTACAGCCAAGAAGGTGTCGAGCGCTGACGACCTCCTTACTTCTTTACCGCTCCTGATCAAGAATCCTCACAAGTTCTTTGCAACTTTGGATTTGTCGGAACAAATTTTAGAAAAAATTGCATTACGTTATGATTTTTTTTTATAACTAAATATATTGAATGATAATTAAAGAATAATAATATTTAATAATTGATATTGACCAGAAATAATTATAAACAATTTATAGTTAATATTAATATACATCGTATAATTAACATTAATTGATAATTTTCAACTAATATTAATTAAAAAATTAAATTAATAATCAATATTTATTAATATTAGTAATAATTATTTACAATTAATAGTAATAAATGACAATTGACATTAATCAAAGTTATAATCGAAAAAAAGTTTCAACAAACTTCTAAAACGCTACTCCAACTAGCATTTTCAATAAGATGGCTTATCAACGTGTACTCGAAAAATAAGTTATCTTATGTTTGCCAAAATATTACTATACAATTATTCAGTGTATATTATCCTACCGATTGTTTATTGCCAGAAATACACTAACCATCCAAGCTAGCACCATAACTTTTTTGGGACATTCATTTTGAAAACACCCTACCACTAAAAGAAAAAGCGATTCTACGGGTTCGATCTTTTTATAACCGTTCCTCGTTCAGTCAGGAATTCAAGCTTGAATGACCAAATTTGAAGTCCTGCACAATCTTTTTGATCGGGGGCGGTGTGAATCTCTATTCTGAAAGATTATGTAGGACTTCAAATGGTCATTCAAGCTTGAATTCCTGGCTGAACGAGGAACGGTTATAAAAAGATCAAACCCGTAGAATCGACCAATATGCACCTCTATATACAACCCGATATTTCATTAACTTCTACAATATTATTTGTTTGATACCGTTAAAGTAAACAACCATGCATCATTTTGGTGACCTTAAATTCAAGCACAAAAGATACGAATTCAAACACACCCACACCTCAACTTTACGACCTTTTAGGAAGAACCGAAGATCCAGTAACTCGTGTCCATGATGATGGCTTAAACCCACCCACGAGCAGATCGGATGCTGTTGCTGCATTTATTCTTCTCCGTTTTGACTGAAGCTCCAACCTTTTCGAACTGGATGGAGAAGATCCCGAGAAAATGGACGTAGATTTGATTAATGCTCGTTTTTCATCCCTGTTTTTGTTGAATTTTGAAGAAAACTTCACACGTTTAGCGGCTGCCGTATCTTCTTCGGATGCCGGAAGTAGTCTTATCCCGAGTCCCATCTTTCTTGCAGTCACCTCTTCCTCAGCAACCCGTTTCTTTTGACTCTGTTGTTTAAAAAGTGTAAAGAGAGAAGGTAAAAAAACAGTAAAAGAAGATGAAATTTAAGGGTTCTGATACGTACTCTAAGTTTGGCACGAAGAGACTTGTTTAAGGAGTAATCGTCCAAATGTCTCGCATCGGACACTCGTTGAAGTCGCACCAGCAATGGCTCCGCTTCCTTCTTCTTCCTTAAATCCTCTCCTTGGTGTTCAAGGCGGTAGAAAGGATCTGATAGCTTGCTTTTCTCTACAAAACCCAAATTTCATGCACAGTTGGATGCTTACAATAGAAAAAAGCAATGTTCAACCATAGAAAAATGGCCAACTCTTAGTCAAAAATAAAAAATATCCATCTATGATGAAACAGTAAGGGTTCTTGTCGTCCAAAATAATAAGTACTATCACCAATTTGAAGCGATAGATAGAGGACAAATAGATGATTTTAGTTTCCAAGTTTTGTCAAAAAGGGAAACCTTGCATTTAACTTGAGACATACAAAAGGACGTAAACAGCTTTATTGAACATAAACAAAGACCATAAGAAGTTAAAATGGGCTAGAAATCTCCATTATTAGAAAACAACCATTGCTGACCTTCATCAACTGGGAGTGCCATGGTTTCTGCATCTTCGGTGTCAAACTCTTCAACCTTCTTTTGAGCCCCACTAATTACCAGATACTCGCAGTTCTTTGGGTCCGTTTGAATGACAATTTCATGCTTGCAGCATGCCGCTTTCATTGTGAAGCTCCATATCTGAGCAAGAAGAGCAGAAATCACCATGAAGAGCTTCAGACAAAAGGGCAAACTGGTCATATTTACTAGTAAGTTATAAAATGCAGCTTACCTTTGTAGAGTAATAATTTCCCACTTGCTTTTTCTCTGCATTAAACCTTACCCCCTTTGCAATCATAGAATTGCAACCACCACACCAGATATTGTAAGGCATTTCAAACCTGGAAAATTTACCCAAGAGAGATTAATTGATGTAATCTAGTCTTCAGAAAGCATCAGACATGCATGCAATAAATAAGGAACATGTCCTACCCCATCTTTGGTCTTCCAATTTTGAAAACCATTAAGCAGATTTAGAAAAAATGAACCACATTGACTATACTACTAATCCTTACACCAAGAGGCCTCTGGTCCAACGGTAGCAAGTGAGACTCTACAACATTTAGGTTGAGTTCGAGTCTTTTTAAAGATATGGATGTGTAAGTTTATTTGTTGTTTCAAAGAAAATATATGATTACTGCATATGATATTCCAGTGGTTGAGTGGTTTCATTTCATATCTTACTCGAAAAGGAAATAATTTTCCGATATTCATATACAAAATCGCTGCTTCTAAGCTCAATAAAAATGTCATCATTATTACTTTTCACTTCAATGGTTCAATTAAATTGAGTTGAGATACATTATAAACTTAGGATAATTCACTACTCAAATCAAGCAGCCTGAGCCACACAAAACCTTGGAGGATGTAGAGGCAAAATAATTTGATGCTTCCAAAGAAGAAAGGCGTATACACATTAATAGTTGAACTTGCAGGAAACTGCAGATGCAGGCTGATTGTCTAGGTCAAATGTGATGGCAATGTTAGTTGTTAAAATAAGTAACAAACAGATCCAATTTACATTCAACTTTTAACAAGTTTATTCAGCAGGAAAATTTGATAACCATATCCATTTGCCCTGCACCAGAAACATGGGGGGTTTCAAGCTATTTGGGTTCCTGGTACTGATTTAAACCTTCAATTCTTTTCCATGTTTCTTTTATGGTCATTTAAGGTTAAATTCATTAGTTTGGAGACAAACAATCTTGATGTGGCAAACAGATGCTCAAATCACATGCTTTGAACAAAGTTCTGTTAAAAAGACTTGTAATACCTTATGATTAAAATACCCTGATCTATCTTTTTTGCTCTCTCCCTCAAGGCATGCTGCCCATGAAACTTGTTCAGACCACCCTGTAGAAGAAAATAGAAGTTGATATAATATAATCATCAAGCAAGAATTGCAAGGGTTAATGAACATGTAATTAAATATTCTAGCAGCATACCTTTTTTGGGTCCCATTCTGGAGGGTAGTAGAAATTGTCAGCCCTAGCAGCCGCAAGTGATGACTGCAGAAAATATAATAGTGTCATTATGCCATTCTCATAACTCCATACCATAGAGAACAGTTGAGAATAAAAATAAGGGCATCGCCATCAGCTCAAAAAAGGATTATGCATTTCCGAGCATGTAGAAACACCGGTTTGGAGTACATGAAGATACTTGCCAAGACAGAACATGTAACAACGCAAGCTAGAATGCAACTATCACCTTATCACACATCAAATTAGCAGCCGCATAATATATATGAACAATCCTCAAGGATAACTACTATAAAGCTACATAATTGGTATCCTTTACTCTATATCAGGAATTAATCTCACAAGTATATAACCATAGTTGTCAAAATCTTACATTTTATAATTCAAACCCAAAATGAAATAAAAACCCGTTAATAATTTGAAATCGTCACAATTACCATTGTATCAACGCACAATAGTATAAACATGATTCATAAAAGTATTCCTAAAATTGGTTCACGTAATTTTGTGGATATGCATATCGGAATAATCTACTCAAAATCTATTAGCAGCCACATGAATAGTCAAGGTTATAGCGATTAAGTATATATCGGCTTAACATCACTAGCTTTTGTATAGATTGACACATATTATATAAATTCTTTTAGAAGAAGATGAAGTAAACCCACATTTGGATTCGATTGAAATCGTGATTCATGAATTTAATATAGTGACTCTCGATTCAATTCACAAATTGAGAACTATGGAATGAACTACAAAGGCAAAATCCATGAGAATTGGGCAATAGACGTGCTAAGATGAAATCTAGATTCCAGAATGCCGAATCCTAATGTTCTAGAAAGCGTCTTCTACAGTACGACTAGCATTAGGTGTGAGTTGCATTCCCGAATCCTAACTATTGTAAAGCTACAAAATGGTGTCCTTTTCTCTATATACAAAAATTAATCTCAAATATATGAACCATCGTTATCAAAATCGTACACTTTGTTATTCAACCCATAAAGCAAAAGGAAACCAGACTGTTAATAAATTGGAATCGTTCACAATCACCATTGTAACTATCAACACAAAATAGAATAAACATGTTTAATTACTTATTAGAAGTATTTCTACAATTTGGTTCACATTGTTTTGTGGATATGCATGCTGGAATTATCTACCGAGAACCTATTAGTAGCCACATGAATAGGCAAAATTGTAGTGACTAAGTATATATTGGTTTAAACATACATATATTCATACATATTATACAAATCTTTCTAGAAGATGTTGAAGAGAATCTAGATTTGGATTTAATTAAACTCATCATTCATTCATGAAATTTATATAGTGACTCCTGATTTCCTTCATAAATTGAGAACTATGGGATAAACTACAAGGGTAAAATCTGCGCGAATTGGTCAATAAAAGAAGTGCTAAGATAAAATTTAGATTCTAGAATGTCGAATACTAATGTTCTAGAAAGCATCTTCCACGGTCCGACTAGCATGGGTGTGAGTTACATTCCCAAGTCCTAATATTCTAAAAAACATCCTTTATGGTACGATTGGTCATGGCCTCATGGGTGCCTTCCTTCTACATTTAGGTCATCATGACCTTATTTTAAATTGATAGTACGCCCGGGCAGTTCTAGTAATACCAATATGCCCGATCTTCTATAAGCATGAAACCACACCACATTCAAATCGAAGTCAGTAAGAATATAACAGAAAGCTAGCACTGATCTATACAAACAGGAAAATCATACTGTTCTTTAGTTACTAGGGCCTTGTTCCTGGGATGAAACTCTTACGCATTCCTTTGTTAACTACAGCAATACATCAGTTAATTCACAGCACGTACCAACACCCATGGTTCTATAACCCCACAAACCCTTTACTCCTAGGTATCCATCAGTAACGCCACAATCAAATATCAAAGAGATATCTTAACCTAGATATCTATCCCATGTAATTAATCCTAAAATTTCCAAATTCCTCTTGATCTTTCATCACCTAGTAAAGTTAAATCAGAACGTAAATTGAAAATTGAAAATTCAAAATTCAACAATCACGCAACAAAAATTCATTGCCCTTAATTCACAAATCACACGTATGATGCAAATTGCAAAACCCTAATTGACTCAAAAGGGGCGATCTATTAGATGAACAAGATCAGAGTAATTAACAAACATATATGAAACAACAAGATCTTCATAAACATCAAATTTTACGTACCATTTTCGATTGTAATTATTGTTCTCCGATAGGTGGATAGACGATGAGCTTGATTCCTTTGGTTCTGTATATTGTACGAAACAGTTGGCCTCGCGGGGTTTGTATTCAATGCCGAAGGTTGATGATTCCTTTTATACAAGATGGCGACGGCGTCGTTTTGTAGTTCACTTTTATTTTATGGTTTAAAGCTGTCAAGAAAAAAAGCAGCCACGGCCCAATTGATATTAGGCCCAAATTTTATTTTTAAGCCCAATGACTTGTTCCATGCTGTAGGGCCGTTTAACATTGCTTATTTGAAACAACTTATGTTTTTTTTATAAAAGCATTTATTAATTTATTATAAGTCAGAAGAGTAATTTTTTCAAAAACTTCTTATTATCAGTTTGACACCGGTATAAGTTGTTTATCCAAACACTTAAAAATGTTTATTATCGATGTCACACCGGAATAAGTCAATAACTTATTTTTATAAGCAATTCCAAACACCCCTTAATAACTCAACTTAAATCACAAATTTTATTATTCCAAAATGTGTAAATTCAGATTTGGTTTTTGACATTTGTCACTGGTAACAAAACTTGTCCCTGATCTTTATTTATGTTGTATTTGCCAATCGATTGGTTTCATCCTTCCCACCCATGGCTGATATCTTTTTGTGTTAAGCTTAATTAAATAAGTGGTATTCATTTATTTTGCATTTGGTAATGTTGGTATTTATCTTAGAGTCTATTTGTTAGCAGTTTAATGCGACTTACAATTTATTCAGTCAGTTATATATTACTGTTTGATAATAGCTTATTCACTGTGCTTCTAAGGGGAGCTTTATGCCCTAAGTCAAGTTTTTTCCCAAACCTGCCCCACCTAGATAAAAACACACTCCTTTCATCTATAATAAGACTTTTCGAACAAAACATTCTCAATTTATATAGACAGATTAATCTACACATATAACGTTATTCGTAGAGGACTTAATGAAAAATCAACCAAACAATCTCAAACATTGCTTAAGGGGATTTAAATGGTTATCGTTGTGAATACTGTCTATAGTTGCATGATGTTTAATATTTGAGAGACTTATGCGTGTAACATACATTATTCGTGAGAATGGATCATGACCAATTTTAAAAAACAAACGACAATCAATATATTTTTTGGAATGGGTAATCTAAGCAGTCAATGGCAATGCAAACGTATCATGATTGCGAGTTTGTAGAGTTATAAAACTACCTAAAAAGAAACTGAATCCAATACGTATACGTAATGTAATGTTGAAGCAAATGGGAAAGAAATATAGTATTGAAACAACAAAAGGGTGTCAAAATAAATTAGAATGAAAATTAAGTTAATTGACGTCAAGGATAAGATAAGATTAGTAAAGAGTTAATAAATTATCAAGAAATCAGATTAAATAGATGGAAATCAGATTAAAATATATTGTATTTTTGTACGATGTTTTTCAAATTAAAAACACAATTCATCAGATTATCCTATTTAAATTGATTTGCAGTGTACCAGATGAAATGAATTATTTCTTGAGAAATAGCTCATTACAGTTTTTCATGGAAAATAAATGTGTTGGTCCATTTCATTTTGTTTTTAATTCAGGTTCATTATTTAACATATTAAATGTAAGAATTTGAACTGGGTTCATAAAATTTTGGAATCCAAATTTACAGGTGTACAATAACTTTTTTATGTTTAACATATATGTATCACTGTTATTTTATTATATAATATAATAAAAAAAATTAATGCAATAATAGATTTGAGTATCCTACTTTGCTTGTGGTTTGATTACTAGATGCCAAAATACTACGTTAGGGCTACCGTTAAGCATTTAAGAAGCTCCAAGTATAATTGACGTCTAGTTATTTATGCTTAGGGGTTGTTTACCAAACACTTACTCGGTAAGTGTTTATCGGTAAAATTTAACACTATTATTTACTTACCAGGTAAGATTTTAGTCCACCAAAACGACATTTTATGCAACAATTTACTCGGTAAGCGCTTACCGTGGTAAAAGTCGTCGTTCTCACTTATCGGGTAAGACTCTTGGTCTTTGTCTCGTTCTTACCAGGTAAAATTCTTGGTCTTTACCATATTCATGCGGTGAGGTAAGGTTACTTGACAAACGTTTATTTGGGTAAACGTTTGGTAAACGGCCCCTTACACCCACAAGATTTGATATATTTTCTTACTTTTTCTATTTTAATATTTCCAGAAATATTTGTTTTCCTGAATTCCGAATATTTAACTTTTGGAAACGTACAAATAAAACAATATGGTTTGTAATAAAAAATATTAATGATTTACATCTTGAAGATCTATATTTTTCCAAAAATAATAAAACCAAATATTTACAAAAGCTAAGATATGAACATTGAATATTAAAATCAAAAATTCTAAAAGCAAAATATATATATATATATATATATATATATATATATATACTACATTAATAATCATTTAGGCCAAAATTTTAATTACAAACCACAAGACACATATTTCAAAAAATTCTTAATGACAAGTTATAAAGCACAATTTACAGCTTGTTGATGCATTGACTTTAACTCTATCAGTTTCCGACTTCTTCTCTAACAAAATTCGTTTGTAAGGTCAGACCTTACTTTCTTCTCTAGGAGCCTTCTTCTTCCTTTTTCAGCTCTCCTCTTTGTGCCCAAACAAGTTTAGTAAGGTTAAAGGTTGCATACTTTCTTCTCTAGCAAGCTTCTTCTTCCTACTCCAGCTCTCTCCTGTGCGCCAAAACAAGTTTGGTAAGGTCAGAGCTTGCTTTCTTCCGATCCTGCTACCTTTGCACAAATGGACGATTTGATGTATCAAATTCGTGGCTCCCAAGACGACCTCATCTGTGCATATAACCAGGGTTTTGAAGTATTGATTTTCAATAACGACTTTTCTGAGGTATTGATTTACATTTCGTGGCTCCCTAGCGATGTCTCTGAGGTGATGTTTTCACAACTGCAAGCTGATGTTTTCACAACTCTAACTTTCTTTATATACTCATGTTATTTGTATTTGCAATCAAAGATGTTGCATTTGTAATGTTTTGGTCAAATTCTTCAAATTTTCTATATTCAAAATGAAACTGGGGATTTGTGAGTTTCGAAGACGGTTTGGAAAATGAGTTCATCAGTCTATTTATAGTTCGTCTATATGATGCAATAAGTTTATGTGTTATATGAAAAAGGGTTTATTTGGTTGTTTGACATAACAAATGGGTGATATCTCATTTTATTGATGCGATAAAAAAGAGGTTGTTTCGATATAACACTGTTATTTGTTATTTATTCAAGTATGGATTTTATGAAAGTGTTTTGATGATTTTCACCCTGTAATAGTAAACAAATGGATCTCTTACTAGACTTCAAGGTCTAACCCTCATTATATTTCAAAATGTGCATTACAGATCGGACACAATCTGATGATAAGGGAAAGGGAAAATTATGAAGAATTATTAATTGTTTGCATGGGATGTTGGAATGATATGTTATGTTTTGCACTTAAATACTTGTTATGTATCCAAGTTTTGTATTGGGATTTTGTGAAAAAATTTGGTAGCTACTTTTGTAATGTAGCTTTTGTATTAATAGTGAGACCAAATGTGTAAATTATATTTCCCCATATATGAATATATGGATAAATGCAAATGTGATCTTAGACTGTTACAATCTGGGCCTCTATTATGTATATTGTTTTACATTACTATATATACTAAAAAATTTGACCTCTAATTGTTTTGGACCCTTGTTATCTATTAAATTGTTTTCGACTCTTATTACATACCAATTCTTTATAAGTCTGTTTTATGTATTATATTTTGGAATACTATTATATACTAAAAATTATTGAGCCTCCAATATGTTTAGGTCCTGGACAGACGTCCATCCCCGCCCTTCCCAAGGACGACAACCGTAGATGACGTTTGTGATTTGTTTACGTTTGAATAACCATTATATGCAAGTATACACATGTGAACATACATTATGCGTATTATTCATATATTAATACAAACTAGAAGGGTACTCGTACAATACGACAAGATGTATCTTGATTTTAATGTTTCGTTTTATTATTTGTTTTTATCGATGTTATAATAAAGTTTTATGTGGTTTTGAGAAATCGATAATGTTTCTTTTTGAATAAAATATAAATTTGAAGATATCATAAAAAATTGAGAAAAAAAATATAAAAGTTCTAGTTTTTTTTGTGTAATTTCTTTAATTCAATTTTTTATTATAATTTAATTTATGGTTAATAATGAAGTAATTTATTTTTGATTTAATAATTAATTAACTTTTATAACAAAAATAGTAATTACGTATTCTGTTAGAACTCAATCATTATCCCAATTATATTTTAGATTTTTTATATTTAAAAATGAGAAGTTTATCTTGTATTTGATTATGTTTATCTGCAGTTAGTTACATGAATTTAAACATGAAGTTTTAATAAGTTGTACTTATGTACAGTTTACTTGTAATCTTGAATTTTAAGTAATATGTATCAATAAGCAGTACATCATGTGTAAAAAATGGTTTTTAAGAGTTTTTGTCAAATGTTTTATAATACTAAAAGCGTACTCGCGCAATGCAGCGAGATATATCGTGATTTTAATATTTCATTGTATTCTTTATCTCAGTCGATGTTATAATATGGTTTTATGTAATTTTGAGAAAGCGGTGATGTTTTTATTTTTGAATAAAATATATGTTTGAAGATATCATAAATTTTTTACAAAAATATATCGGTATTAATATCAAATTAACTATTTGAAATTTCTCATTTTTTTGTGTAATTTTTAATTCAATTTTTTTATAATTTAATTTATGCACAAAAACAAAGTAACTTATATTTGGTTTAATAATATAATTTTATTACAAAGATAATAATTATTTATTTTGTTGGAACTCGATAATTATTCTAATTATATTTTAGATTTTTTATATTTTAAAATGAGATGTTCATCCTCTATT